ATTGATTTTTATGTCTAGAAATTATTTTTTTGGAACCACATATATACACATAACTTTTTCATATGTCATATAAAGATAAACTCTAAAAAAAGTTGTAGAGCTCGACAAATCTATAACTTTAAAGTAGAAAGTTATTTTTTAGTTGAGATTATTTGCATTTCTAAATATACACTATAGGTTCTTGTACCTATTTAGATAAACATATTTTTTTAAAAAAATTGCACGACCTAAATAGAGAAATACTCAATATCAAAATTATAGAATTTGATGATATCAAAAACTTTTGTACTAGTTGATGACTTTTTTTATTTGAAGTTATATACACACTACTGATGGTCGTCTGGATGCGACCATCTATGAAAATTAATACTGGATCTATTCTCCCATGTTAATAATTAATTAGTTGGGACGAAATAACAAAATCAACGAAAATTAGACTGAAGTGAACAATCAAACTAACAGAAAGAACTGTACTGATCTGATCTCTCAGTATAATATAAAAAGAGATGTAACCAACAACCAGACAAAGAAAATTTTGCCCCCAGCTAGCTTATTATTGGCTGGCCACGTTGATCGTTGGCACGCCTCAAATATATATGTGCCCGGTCAATCTCGATTGTATCTGCTAGTAGCTACTTACAATCAAACGATGGAAGCAGGACGACGTCGAGATTAAAGAAGATAAAAAGGATTGAAAATAACAGCACATGCATGGCAGTATGGTACATACCGATCAGGGGCCTAAGTAAAAAACAAAAGTTCCTAATTAAACACGATTTTGGCAGGATCAACTGGTTAATTAATTAATATATTTACCTGTTTAACACTATATCCAGTAGTTACCAGCTATATGAGTTATCTGCAAAACCCATGCCATTAATTAACGGTGACACTGCAAATTTGCAGTCACTTCATGCATTATAGCCTTTTCCCGGCTGGGTTTACTCGCTTTTTTTCCAGAAGGATGTGTCCACGTCTGACACCAAACTTCAGAGGCTAATACACAGTAGCCTACTAATTAAGCTTAATTTACATCTAGAAACTTTCTCCTACCGGCAATTAGCCGCAGACGCTTGCCTGCTTCAAATTCAATTCACCAGTTGTTAGTTTAGAGTATGCTGAAATTATACTTTTGGTTGTTTCCTATAACTATCTGTGTATGCAATTGATAATTTTTTTTTAATTTCATTACAGATCAACTCATTGGATTTGTCTTATGGTAGTTATTTAAAAAATGTCATTAATCAAAATGTTTACTACTAATTTATATATATAGTTGACTCCAAAATTTTTTGATTAACATCCACTCTCTCCGTTTTATATTATAAGTCGCTTTGTTTTTTAAATTAAATTTGTTTATATTTGATCAAATTTATAGAAGAAATTAGTAAAATTAATAAAACTAAATTATTTTCATTATACATATAACATTGAATATATATTTATAATATGTTAGTTTTATGTTAGAAATGTTATTATGTTTTTCTATAAATTTGGTTAAACTCAAAGAAGTTTAACTATAAAAAAGAATCAAAACTTCTTATAATATGAAACGGAGAAAATATATGTTTTCTTGTAGGACTTATCTATGTTTATAGAGTTGGTTATGAAAAGGAAACTAACTTTCTTACTGCGTACACTTATATATTAGCTAGGTCCAAAAATTCTATCGGGGTTCAAATTTAGGTGCCTAGCTATTTACTTTTGAAACCACTTGCACCAAATTTCCTTTTGTTAAAACTCATATTGATCACCACTAATGAAGAGTACATATGTAGTATAGTGTGCACAATAATTAATCATGTTTTAGAATCCGTTTGGTTTTAATCTTCATAGCGGTATATGAAACCGTACATTAACTGAACTTGACTGATTAACCTACCTAGGCTCGTTTTTTGTTTGACAGTAAGTGTGTCCATTAGTCCTGCGAGAGTGACATTACTGTACTATCATGATATGATATATAAAAGCTCTGGAGCAAAAGAGACTTGGCATCCCATTTGTAACTACCAGAGAAGAAACTTTGGAGAAATGAAGTTTGACAAGGCCCATCAGCTAGATAACACTACAGGACAATGAAATTAAAGTTATTAATTAATTACTAGCTAATAGTTGCATGCAAGTTAATTGGGAATTATATAGTTTGTCGCTATATGTATAGATCTAGTTAATTACCTCAGCATATATATATATGCAGGTTGCAGCCTCGTACAGCTACTTTATAGGTGCTATAGAGATATGTAAGTATATATACTACAGTAGTGTTGATCACTGATCAACCTGAGTAATTAATTAATTAATTAACAGTGCACATACATAATTACATATGTTGGATGTATTCTCCGAAATGGAAAATTAATTAATGTGCATATATACAGACACACACGTGCAGGCAAAGCAGAAAGATCAACTTTGTGTTAGTTGCCACCTAATATTAATTAATTTAATATTCAGATAGTTTGACCAAACGGGACGTTGTTTTTTGAAATAAAAATATATAGAGGAGGGGGACAGTCTTTGAGAAAAAAAATTCAGAGTTAGCAAGCTGCCTGTGGCCATGGTAGAAAATATTTCCTCGCAAAAGAAAAGAAAATATTTCCCTTTTTCATCGATCCATGTAATATCATTATTGTAGTATTTCAATCATTAAGTTCAGTAAGCATGTGACCTATATCGTGTCACTAAATGAAAAAAAAAAAAACTCTTGGGTGCGCATAAAAAATTAACTATCTTCAAATTTTAGGGGAAATTGTTCTCAAAGACTAGAAATTGGTGTATAGTCCTTTTGTTAGTTTTTTTCTTGATATTTAAGATATTGATATTAATTGTCTCTATTGGACATGCTTGATCATTTTTTTCTGATTATATAAATGTAAAGGTACACGTGAAAGAACTTTTTATCAAAAATCGAATAACATAATTTTTCACATATTAAATCTTAACATTTTTGTATATATTAGCGAGTTAGAACATCCGGTTTAACTATACATGATATAAAACAACTAGTAAAAATAGTATGAGAAATTTTACCGTCCTTTATAAATACTAAGTACCACACATTTTCTAATATAAAAGTAGTATATATCATTACATTTTAAGCAACATAAGAAATAGAAATGAAATCACTATGGAAAGAGAGAAATCTCAAAATTAAGGATAGATGTACACATGTAGTGTTAAGTAATTAATTATTTATATATATGTCTCTTAAAATTTACTATATCCCTTATTTGTCCCTCTAAATTTGCCTCTTCCTCCGTTTTCCGTCATTTTCAATCTGCGATCCTTATTTACCCACTTCATTACTTTAGTGTTGAATTACATAAATAGAGAGCAAAATGACAGATTTACCCATCATTTTCTCTCATCTTCTTTTGTATTTTAGTTCTCAATAGGACAAAAGCAGGGCTAGCAGTTGCAGCTCAAGGGCTGCATCAGACCATGGACATATGTACAAACATGCAGCTTTGGACTTAAAAAAAAAGAAGGGTAGTTTTGTCATTTTGTGTTCCGCTTATTAACAATAGTTCAATGATAAAGTGACAAATGGATAGATAAGGAACATAGTAGGGAACGAGGGGTAATTAAGGGAGAGGCAATCTTGTAGGAGCAAATATTGAACACATACAATTTACAATGATAAATAGCTTACTATACCTTAAAGTTACTAGCATTCTACATTTTTTTTTGGCATTCTACATGTTGCTGAAATCAATTCAATAGGAGCAGAAAGGATAGTTGATAACTGGAAAAATATTTCAGGCTCATCGACAAGTAACATAAGGTGATGGACAGAAAAAAACTCAGGCTTAAATGGCTCGTCTTGGCTCGAAAACCAAATGAGCCGAGTTTTAGCCTTTTTCCCAGTTGTTTCGATCCAAACCAAGCTGGCTTTCTACCCTTAGTTTATTCCTCTAGGCCAGTCATCCCTAGTTTCCTACCGTGCTACCACTTTTGCACACACATTAGCCAATAGTAAACCGGCTCGCCGATTGCCACCCCTTATGGAGACGCCAATTCCCTGTACCTCCACCAACTAGTTGCTCCACGCTCCCTCCCTGATTAGAGAGTCACATGTTCTCATGTAGTCGTGTGCATTGTTTAGTGGAGTTGTCATTTATGAACTTTAAAGTTAATTTATTATCATGTGGATTGTAGAGAATTGGATATGTGAGACTATCTTAGTTTTGCATCTCCGTGTTTTTTTCCTACTTAGCAGTTACAAGTTAATATCTAGAGAGGTGTAATTTTTGTTGGAAGGCTCGTGAGCCAGATCGAGCGAGAAAATGAGCCGAGCCAAGCCGGACATGTGTTCTTCCGAGCCGAGCAAGGCTTGGCTCGTTTCCACTGAGGTGATTAAAGAAACTCTTTTAATCACCTAGGTGGATGTCCACCCTCTATTGCATGTTAATCAAATAGTTACGAAAAAATTTCAAAAAAAATTGACATAATAGATTTATGTGTAATATATCACTTCATAAACATGCAAGTTTAAATTCGACTTCTACATGTTGTAATAAAAATAACAAATTTAGTATATGAATATTCACAGCCAAATTTGTTATTTTTAGTACAACTTGTAGAAGTCAAATTTAAACTTGTACGTTTACGGAGTGATATATTACATATTAATCTATCTTGTTAAAAATTTTAAAAAGTTTTCATAACCACTTGATTGGCATGCGACAAACGGGTAGACATCCATCCTAGTGATCAGAATCCATCTCCTCGTTTCCACCTCTGTTGCCACCTCTAGTAGGACGCACAGTAGTATATGAGGAAAGAAATGAAGTAGTCCTCTCTCTCTCTCTAACTTTCTCTGTCTGGCCATCTCTCTCAAGGGTGGGTGGCAAAACTAACCCCACTTGGCACTGACAAGCTAGATGAGAGAGAGAGAAAGAAAGAAAGAGTCAGAGAGGTGAGATAGCTAGCTAGTATATGCTGTAGCCACACACACAATTACTACTACTTCTACGTACATCATCATGTAATGATGGCAATATATATCGATCTCCTCCTCTCTAATTTCTTTCGTCCATCCTTCTCCCAATCAAGCATCCATCCATCCTCCCCAACTATATATAAACCCCACACCTTTCCCTCGCCACCGCCCTCGATCGTCTTCTTCCTCCTCCTCTCAATCTCTTCTTCCTTCTCCTGCAGCCGCCATTTCTAGCTAGCTATACGATCGATCTATACATATATATCAGAAGGAAGGAAGAGGCTAATTAAGCTAGCTGTTGCTAGAGCTAGCAAGAGCGAGGAGATTGAGCAGCTAGGTAGGTAGCAAGAAGGAGAAGAAGAAGAAGATCATCAATGAGCATCTCGGTGAACGGGCAGTCGTGCGTGCCGCCGGGGTTCCGGTTCCACCCGACGGAGGAGGAGCTGCTCAACTACTACCTCCGCAAGAAGGTCGCCTCCGAGCAGATCGACCTCGACGTCATCCGCGACGTCGACCTCAACAAGCTCGAGCCATGGGACATCCAAGGTAGCTAAGCTAGTATTCCTCATCATATAACCTTTCTCCTCTCCAATTCTCAATTTCTAGCTACCAAATCGATGATGGATTTATCAATCAATCGAGCTAAGCTAGCTAAGTAATGGTGTGTGTGCAAAATATATATTGTGGTTGCAGAGAGGTGTAAGATTGGGTCAGGGCCGCAGAACGACTGGTACTTCTTCAGCCACAAGGACAAGAAGTACCCGACGGGGACGAGGACGAACAGGGCGACGGCGGCCGGGTTCTGGAAGGCCACCGGCCGCGACAAGGCCATCTACAACGCCGTCCACCGCATTGGCATGCGCAAGACGCTCGTCTTCTACAAGGGCCGCGCCCCCCACGGCCAGAAGTCCGACTGGATCATGCACGAGTACCGCCTCGACGACCCCGCCACCGACACCGCCGCCGCCACACCCACGGTACGTACGTACCTGCTCCGGCTAGCCGGCCGGCCGGCCGCCGGTACATGTAGCGACAATTAATTATTAGAGAGGAAGAAGATGATGAATGAAGTGGTGGTGCAACAATGTCCGGCAATGCAATGATAGAGGACTAGTTAGTGTTTTCAATTCGATCTAACCTTGATCATTGCCTTTAGCTAGCAAATAATTAACCTAGCTTGTAGCTTTTTCCATGTGATTCATGTGCACCAACCCACCCAAAAAGTTTGAAATAATTAGGATCGAGTACTTAGCTGCTAGGGATTAATTATGTACGTTTATATGATTTGAAATTTTTGATGTTAATTTGATGATGATATATGGTATGATATGCATGGATGGTTAGGTTACTTCTGCTGCTGCTGCGGCGGCGGCGATGGCGGCGGCGGCGGACGGCGGGCAGGAGGATGGCTGGGTGGTGTGCAGGGTGTTCAAGAAGAAGCACCACCACAAGGAGGCCGGCGGCGGCGGCGGCAAGCACGGCGGCGACGGCAGCGCCGGCGCCAAGGCGGCGCACGCTTACTCCTCCAGCGACGACGCGCTCGACCAGATCCTGCAGTACATGGGCAGGTCGTGCAAGCAGGAGCACGAGCTCCCCTCGCCGCAGGCCAGCGGCGGCGGCGGCGCCGGCGCAGGGAGCAGGCCGGCGTCGAGGTACCTCCGGCCAATCGACACCGTGCTCGGCGGCCATGGCTTCATGAAGCTGCCGCCGCTCGAGAGCCCGTCGGCCGCCACGGCGCTCTCCTCCACTCCGAGCACCGGCGGCGACGCGGCCTCCTCGGCCGCCGCCGCCGCCGCCGACCACCTGCTGCTCCACCACCACCACCGCACGGACTGGGCCATGATGGACCGCCTCGTCGCGTCGCACCTCAACGGCGCCAACTCCGACGCGCCCGACGACCAGCTCTGCTTCGACGCCGCCGACGACGACGGCCTCGCCTACTACTCCGCCGCCGCCACGAGGCTGCTCGGCGGTGCCAACGCCGGCACCGACGACGACCTGTGGAGCTTCGCGCGGTCGGCTGCGCCGCCACCGCCGCCGCCGCCGCCGTCGTCGGCCACGCCAGAGCGTCTCAGCCACGTGGCACTGTAACACATGATTCGTAGCTGTACGTACACGTACACGTATACGTACACGTCAGGCTACGTACGCTCGAGCTGCCACCCTAGCTGCTAGTACAGTAATTACAGAGACAAGACAAGTAAGAAGAAAATTGTAAGTGAAAAAAAAAATAAAAGCAAGAGAGAGAGAGAGAGAGAGATCCACCATGAATGATACTGATAGAGAGACATCATTCGATCGATATATTTCAAAGGTGATTAGCAAAGATCGAGTGATTAATTAATTAGTGAGTGAGACACTGAGAAAAGAAAGAAAGAAAAGAAAGAAAAATTAAGGAGCCAAAAGAGAGGAGGAGAAAAAAGAAGAAGAAGAGAGATTAAAGGCAAAGCGAGTAGTAAGTTAGGGTGGCACTGTCAAACATGTCTGCATCCAATGTTTAATTAATTAATTAACCCTACTACCTGTCCAGGACAGAAAAATATATATTAGCATCTCATTACTTATAATATACTCCCTCCGTTTTAAAATATTTGACACCGTTGACTTTTTAGCACATGTTTGACCGTTCGTCTTATTCAAAAACTTTTATGAAATATGTAAAATTATATGCCTACATAAAAATATATTTAACAATGAATCAAATGATAGGAAAAGAATTAATAATTACTTAAATTTTTTAAATAAGACGAACGGTCAAACATGTGCTAAAAAGTCAACGGCGCCAAATATTTCGAAACGGAGGGAGTATATAGTTTGATCTTGAAATCTTCATCTATCTGTCCATTGCATGGCCTGGGTCGGCTAGTTAATTGTGATTTGGTACTGTACTTTCCCTTGCTAATTGCCTATTAGCAACCCTTAGTTAACTAGCGTACGTACGTGCTGAAGTAGAGTACGTAGTACTACGTACGTACTAGTGTGCATGCATGGTGTACGTACGTACGTACATTTGGCTAGCTGGTATGTGTCCATGGATGAGATGTGTGTATTAATTAATTAGTGTACTAGTATATATATTACGATCAAGATAGTTAGCTTACTATTCGTACGTGCACATACATATGGATGCATCATATATATTCTCTTCAGTCTTCTCACTATATGAATATATCCATCAGGTGAATAATTTGTGGCTATAGTTTTAGTTGAAGCAAAAAAGACTGAGTCTATCTAGCTAGCTAGAAAAATCGGGTGAATAATTTAGGGAGTTTTTGTGGACAAAGGATTTTCTAAGAAATCACAATATTGTTTTCAATAAAATCATGTAAACCCTAATAGCTAGAGAGAGATGTACCTTGCCAGCTATAGCTAGCCTGGTGTCTTCTTTCAACCTTGTTAATTAACTTAGATAACTAACACGTACTAGTGTATATATCTCCTTTGTCCTATTCAAAAAATGACTTTATTTGTAGAATAAAATCTAAACACAAATACTATTAATATGTACATAGTTAAAAACAAAGTCTTTTTAGAAACAGAGGCTATAGTTTTTGTTGTCGTTTTTGATGGATCATGTTAATTAGCAGTAGCAGTATATGGCAATTGAGGGAGCAGGAGATGTTGGGGTTCAGATTGTTATCTTGTTTGTCGTGACAGGGGAAAAAGGGAGGTAGTACTATTATACAGTAGTATAAAAAAGCTAAGATAGGTGGATGTGGGGCCCACTGGGCAGTGTAACATCAATCTGGCCGGGCCGGGCTATAGGTAGAGCCGGCCGGTGTCCCCAGTGAACGTACCATGGTGCAACGTCGTTTGTAGATCAGTGGCCTTTTGGTCCCCAATAATTCCTCTCTCTCTCTCATCACCTTCTCCTTGCTGCTTCTTGCTACATTGCTTTGCTTTTTAGAGAGAGAAATTTTGACAAAAAAAAGTAGACAGAGAAACAGACATATATACTATTACTAGTGTCAGAGAGAGAGAGAGATCTATGTTGAGAGAGAAAGTAGTAGTTGTGGGTTGGAGCTGGAGAGAGTAGTGCCTGGGGTCTTGCGTCTCTACTGGCATACACACGTTCACTCGCTAAGAGACAGAAAAAAAACTCAACTAATCAAAGGACACACGTACGTTTATACAAAACATATATGCATACAATTGTTTAACGTCTTCGTCAACACCGTCTCCATCCGGCTACCTCTTTTAAGATAGGTGACAAAAGCACACAGCAAGCAAGCAAGCGCTTGCTAAACAAACGAAAAGTACAAACAAGTGTCAAAGAAAAAATAGGAGGAGAAAAAGAAGAGATTAAATCAAGATCCATCCCTCGGTGCATGTTGGGTACGTTGTTGATCGAGTGCTCCACTACCACCATGTGTGGGCCGGGGACGGGCGTAGACGCGGCTTGCTTGCTAGCTAGCTTAATTAGCCTAAGAAAAAACATGGTGCATATATATTCATCATTGTGGATCGATCGATCGATCTCTCCCGTTCATATTAAGAACGCGAGAGATCGATCGACTATATATAATTGATGCATGGTGGCCATCCTGCAGTCTCCAATAGATATGTATATGGATATATGAATGGGCAAATGGCCGGCCGGGGACCGTGCGTCCTGTGCATACATAGAGCTGCACAGTCGCCGCCAGCCGATCGCTTTCCGGCGAGTGGGGATGCTTTGTACATCGATATATCGCGTACAGCCGTTAATTGATCGATATATATTGGACTTGACTTAATAAATCCATTCACCCAACGTTGTACTATTCTGTGTGTTAATTTCACACACACATTAAATTCATAAGTGTGTGTTACATACTTATTGGCAGGTGGCTATAGCAATGTGGGGTTTATGTATTGCATGTTCTAGTTGATCATTTCCCATGTATTTATATATACTCCTAATTAAGCTAGATGACCAGTACACATCGTGCCAGGAGTATACCTGCATAGCTGCATGAAGTATTTATAGTATATCAGAAGATAGTTGCATTTGCAATGGTACAGTAGTAAGATTGGTTGCATTTGCCAGGAGTAATAATGTACCACAGGGTGAAGATGTACGGGAACAAATGGAGCTAGCTGTCAGTTTATCAGAGTTTGTCTCTTCTCTCTTAGTCTTACTATCATTTACTTTCAGATCTAACCACCAGCTCGATCGATCGTTTGTTCATCGATCTCCTGCGCTACTATCCCTGTGTACTGCTGCATTATGAAATTCAGATTGGCTACTCGTCAGTTCTGCCTGATAATAATATTGTTTACATCCTGTACGTCGTCTCAGGCTCATCAGCAGATTAATCTTGGATCGATGCTCCTTGCAGGGCATGAATATATATAGTGAGGTGTTTTATTTAATTTCTTCTCAGTTTGGAGGAGGAAGAAACAGATGTTTTTTTCTTATCTTCTCTCTCTATAAGTTATGCTTGTTGATCGATTCATGTTGCAATAAGGGCACTACTAGTGGATAGAAGACGGTAGGGTAATAGTAAATCCAGCGGCACGAGCCATCAGAGATGGGGAGATGAGATAGAATGGGGAAGCACAGTAACGAGCAAAAGAGAAGGACGAATGGAATCACTAGAGGTTTGAAGAGAGTAAATGGCTATTGGACATGAGTCCAACAATAAGGATAAAGCTCAATTGATTGGCCGCGGGCTTGTTCTAATCTCCAACAAAAGTTAGATAAACTTTTAGATAAAAGTGACACACGCTTTTCAAACTGCTAAACAATGCGTTTCGTGCGAAAACTTTCGATATAAAAGTTGTTCTAAATATCAGATTAATCCATTTTTCAAGTTTGTAATAATTAAAACTCAATTAATCACACATTATTACCATCTCATTTTGTGTAAAAACACTTGATCTTTATCTTCATCTTTCTTCCTTAGGAGATTCAAATACCACCCAAGTCGCCTCTTTTAGGTTTTCCATCTCTCCACACACATATTAATGTGCCTGCAATGGAGAGAGTGTAATACTCCCTCCGTTTTATATTATGAGTGGTTTTGATTTTTTTTTTAATTAAACTTTTTGAATAACCAAATTCATAAAAAAATATAATAACATTTATAACACTAATGATTTTTTTAATTAAACTTTTCAAATAACCAAATTCATAAAAAAATATAATATTTATAACACTAATTTAGTTTTATTACATCTTACATTGAATATATTTTGATAGTTTATTTGTTTTGTGTTGAAAATATTACTATATTTTTTTCTGTAAACTTAATTAAACCTATAGAAGTTTGAATCAAAACTACATATGATATAAAACGATTGTAGTATATATTAGGTACTAGCTAGCTTGTTTTCAAAATGCATGGCACATATGCATGAACCAAACACTACAGAGAATAGACGATCTCTATCGGTTCGTAACTAGCATCTCTACCGGTTTTCGAACTGGCAGGCCGTATGTGGTGCAAGGATTGCTTTTTTTTTTTAACTAGTGAGATCACCAGCAATATATACAAGATTAAAATAAAGAGATATATTGATCAATCACATAAGGATCGGTAATTAACTGTTAGAGATTACTCCAATCAATAAACTGACCAATTGTCTGTTTCAATGTTAAAGATTGTGTACGTAGTTTCAATTCAATCTCTAGAGATCAGTTTGTGCATGTCGTAGTGAGTATATTAAAAACTGCAAGCTAAGCAAATTAAGCTACTTCCTCTGTTTCACCATGTAAGTCATTCTAACATTTTCCACATTCATATTAATGTTAATGAATCTAGATAGATATATATATGTCTAGATTTTCATTAACATCAATATGAATGTAGGAAATGCTAGAATGACTTACATTGTAAAACGGAGGGAGTAGCCAACTAAACCTCGTTTAGTATCATGCACCAATTTTAATTAATTGGAGAAAGTTTCTTGGTGGCTAGCTAGTTTCTTTGCCCCACCACTAAATATATTTAAATGAATATTAACAAACCTAGCTATAATTATAGCTAGCTAGCATGCACTAGCTATATAGTTTGCTTCCAAGAATATAATCATCATCAAGTATCAATCATATGCATGCAATTGTACATACATATATCCACTGAGAACAACACACACATGCATGGATAGCTCAATGGGGACGTACTTGCGTCCATTCATGCATGCATCCACGACGAGCAAACCTCTCATGCATATGCTGAATTGTTGATCAATCGATGCAAGTAAAATTTTTTTCATGGATATAATTTCTGTCAATTAATATGTATATTCAGATAATTGATACTTCTGTTATTGTGCGCTTCTCTGGTTATGAAAACGAACCACGCCAGATGGTGTGAGGTTTTTATATTGATGTACCAGAAAAAAGTAAAAGATATATGTGTATATGCAACATTGGTGGAGAAACCTTTTTTACTCCGGGTTGATAACCCCCTTTAGTCCCGGGTTTCCAACCAGGAGTAGGAATCCGGGACTAAAGATGCCCGGTTGAAATAACCAGGACTAAAGATCGATTGGTAGCAAAAACCGGGATTAAAGAGAAAGATCAACACCAACCGGGACTAAAGAGGGGATAGCAGC